CCCTGCATCCCCTCAGAGGGCCCTAACTGAGCCACAAAAGGGCTAAGAAACTAGGAAGACAGGAGAGACTACCCACTGGGACTCCGGGCAGTGGAGGTTGAAGTAACCAGAATAGTGCAAATCCAGTCATTTGTCATTGGGCTACATCAGGGGACTTGCCTGCTCTCTGGCTCCATTTTCCAACCTATAAATTAGAGATGTAACTCTTACTTTAGAGAGCTTTCCTAAAAACACAGAAAGATGATCCACGTGAAAGGCCTGGCCCCTTAAGAACTCAGTCCTGGGAGCCAGGAAACTGCTTCAAATGAGCTCCCAGGTACCTCCCAGGCACAGCAGGAGCATCTGGGAGAACTTCTCCCAAGTTTGTTCTTTCTCTAATCAACAGAAGGTGCTGGTGATTCCTGCACGATCAACCCAGCCCCCCTCCCAAATTCAGTCTCCATTTGAGAACTCCAGAAAGTTGGGAGGATTCTTTATCACCACAGGGCAAATGAGAGGCTGTGGAGCAGTTCTGGATTTGCTCAAGCATAGCAACCACCACCACCACCACTCCCCCCCCCAAAAAAAAATGGCTTTAAAGCATTTATCTACAGAGAATTAAAGCTCTCTGCTACTTTTGCAGGGTTCTTGAGGCCTAATGTTGGGATTTTGTGCAGTTGTCTTAAATTAGGTTAGAAGGGTTCTTTTTGTAGGAAAGGGCAGGAGGTTGAAGAGGCAGGAGGGGACAGCTTTGGCGTTCCTTGCTTTGTCATTCGGGAAAGGTCTTTGAGCTATTGTCAGCTCTTGGACACTGTCAAGAAGAGAAAGGTGTTCCCAAACCTGATCAGCACAAGTAAGGTGAAAATCAAGGGACCAGAACCTCAAACAAACACTTCACAGCCACAGGAAGCAGCCACAGTTGTAGCTGTTGGTTTAATTCTCTTTAATTCGCTAGGGTCCCGACTAGACTCCATCACTACCCCCTTACGAACTAAGTAGGAAAGCAGAGCTGGAAGAAAAGCCTACAAAATGCTGGCAACCCTCATCATTCGACCACTTCCTTCCTAACAGGTCCGGCAGGCTGCTTGGTGCTTCCATTAAAGTAAGATTCCTTCACAGCAGCGTGTGCTGAAGCATTGACCCTCAGAGCTCCGTCACCATAGTTGCCCGCTCTCCGCGTCCAGGTAGGTCCCACCGAGAGGGGCGTGGTCTCTGTACGGTGACTGTATCACCTTTGCTTCCCGAACCATGCAGTTAAAATACCATACAGAGGGTATTTTAAAGAGAAAGAGGAAGAAGGATGGAGGGAGGGAAAAGGGGAGAGATGAGGAAGAGGATGGTTGAAAAGATGGAAGAAAGTGTCTTGGTTCATATTGGAACCTGAGGACTCCACTCATTTAGGAAGAAGGTAATGGTGCCGGCTGGTTTTCTGTTGCCAGGTACTTTTCTACTCCAACCAACCTCATTGCTGCCTCCTAGTGAAGGTTGTGGGGTTGGAAAGGAGACCAATTACAGAGGAGGCTATAAGGGAAAAGAAGAAGGAAGCTAAGTATCTGGGCGCCCACAAACTTCCCTGCAAGTGTGTCTCTTTTCTATCTGACACTGTAGCTCCAGGTGCTACTGCATCCCTCAGGGAAACAGACCCTTTTCAGGGGCTGCTGAGCAGAAAGCCTGGACTTGGACAAGACCATCACACTCACAGGTCTCTGAAGGGGCTTTGTCCTTTGTAAGTTCCTCACACCGGCCACTCAGAGAGAACTGCACCCACCACTCCACCGACGGGAACTCAGCATAGGAGCATATTAAAAGTGAGTGTAGATTTGGGTGTGTCTACATAACAGGGGTTAGCCAGCTTCAGGCCAGAGGTCTAAAGGCTGACAGATAACAGGGACCCACTTCATCTCACAATCACTGGGGTGCCCTTTCTTGGATATGAAGGTCTCAGGCCAAGAATACTGATCCTCAAAAAGTCCAGAGCAGATAAATCAAACTCCTCCCATTCTGCAGTGTGCAAAGTTGTGTCTAGTGAACACACAATGTGCAACACACATAGTCGTGTCCTGTCTGTGCCGTCGCTCTCTACAGAACTGTCTAACTTGGTTCGTTCACTTTAAAGGTGTGATTGCAGTTTACACCAGGGCTACCTGAGGAAGTCTGATGTATTTGATATTGACAACATATAGCATATATAAGCATAGCTTTTGGTCATATATACAAACATTTCAATGCAATCATAATTTATTGAAGATTTCAAAAACAAACATGACACACATAAAATCGTTTAAAATACCAACATGAATTAATATCTCCAACCTTCAGTCATTTTTATGCCAAGATAATTTTCACTATTAGACTCAACTTTATTCAGAATGATTAGTGAATAGCAGTTTTCATACACTGTGTCTCCATACATATGCTCTTTGTGTGTCAGTGTGTAATATTTTTTCTCAAACCTATTATACAAGTTGGTAGGCTGAAAGCTCAGAGATGGTAATTTTGTAGTTTATCATCATGAAACAGTATATTTAATATCCTAGTCTATGTAATTACACCTGCTAGTGTCTTAACATTGCACCACCCAGAGTCTGTGAATGACAGTGTCTTCTAGAGTGTGTTAAAGAAGTAGGATTCTAAAGTAATCAGTTCAATTGTTTTAGCAACAGAAGGGCAAAAACAATACGAAACAAGCATTTACAAACATGACAGCTAAGGAAAACAGAAGCCACTTAGCTACTGCTGACTGGCACGTCTGTCATCCCAACCAACATTTTCAAAAGCAATCGCTATTCTTCAATTTAAACGAGCAACAAAGCAAGCCTAATTCTTAAATAAATAGACGCACAAAACAGTTCACGGCAACGCCGTAATTTCAATCAGTGCTTTAAGGGTCCGGTGTGTGAACAAATTGAACATACATTGCAAAAAGACATTTAAAAATTTTAACTGTTTATACAAATTTGTTACTTGCAAACAGCCAAAGTAAGAAGGCCAGCAAACAGCCTGAAGCATAAACTACCTGGGGGAGGGGGGAATCCCGGGGAGATGGGAGAGGGGGTGCAAACAAAACTATGCCTTTTGATTTTTCTTCAGAGCGTCAATTATAATTGCTCTAATTACCAAGCAAGAAAATGTGCGCCAACAGCATAAACGCAGTCCAGTGTGGAACATGGGTTTTTATTTGTTTAGAGAAATGATTTATACTTCTGATTTGAGGCACCTCCCCCCCCCCACCATGCGGTGGAGAAACTGTGATATTAAAGAGATGACAAGATGACTCTGATGGCCAGATTTTAAAAAAAAAAAAATCCAAAACAAGGCAGAAGACAATTGTAAAAGATGAGGATTCAGACTCAGCCCAGGCTCGCTCCTTTGCCGAAAGCTTGCCCAAAAACGCCCTGTCCATCCTAAGCTATTTTTCGCTCCACTACCTCGGACTGAGTGCATCACCAGGCAAGAAAATGCGGGATCCATCCGGCCCTCCAAGGAAAATGAGCACTTTCTTGCCTTTCGGAACAGTCTCAAATATTTTCGAAGACGACTCCCCCCCTCGTCCCCACCACACCTCCTCAGGCTTAACCCTCTTCCACCGCAGTTCTCGCAGCTCCTCTCCTCCGGTGTACCACCTTTATCCTCCCGGAAAGAGGCTTCCCGGAGCTGCCAGCAGAGCCGCTGTAGCTCCGGGTCGAACAGGGGCAGCCGCCAGTGACACCAAGGGTTGCCAAGCGCCAAAGAGTGCGCAGACTCCGCGGCGCGCGGCGGACTCTCCACTCGCCTAAACCTGCACTCAAAGTGAAAAAGAGTAAGAGGAGGAGTGTTGGGAGGGGGCGAAAGGCGGGAGGTGGGGGCGCGGGGGGGGGACTCTGTTAATTTCAGGTCGGGGAGGGGGAGAGCGGGAGGAGGCTCCGCTGGTCCCTCCTCCCTCCCGGAGTCCCCGGCTCCTCCTCCTCCGCACACCCAGGATATACACACTCACACACACTCACACACTGTCGCGGCTGGACATGCACACCCAGCGCCCGCTGCCAGCGCCTACACTCGCAGGTGGCGACACTCACCTGAGCTGCTACAAAGGGCTCCAGCCACCTTGGGAGCGGCGGAGCGACGGCCTGGGCCCGGAAGGGGCCCCGAGTCGGGGAAGCAGGAGCAGCCCCAGCGCAGACCTGCGACCCGAGGTGATGGCGCGTTTTCTTTAATCCCCCTCTTCCAGTACCTTGAGTCCCAGCACCCATCCAACCCACCGCCCCGGGAGAAGCCGGGAGAGGGGGACTCCGGGTCACGGCACACACACGCAGGCGGGCGCACGCTTCGCGGCGCGCTCACCTAGGGGCGCGGCTGAGCCGGGCCGGAAACTTGCAAGAAGTTAGTTGCTAGTGTCTGGCTACGACAACCGGAGGCCGGAGGAGAAGCAGCCCGGGCCCTGCCCGCCGCGCTGCACGGCGCAGCCCTCCACGCCTGGAGTGCTCCTGGAGCCCGAGTCGGCGTGCGAGCCTGGAAGGGCTGGGAGCCAGCGGAGCAAGCATGGCCCGGGGGACAGCCCAGCGCAGCGATTCGGAAAGCCCGGACGGTTTCCACTAAGATCCGGCGACTCAAGCTTGCTCAAAACCTCATCTCATCTCTTTCCTCACCTCTCCTGAGCGAAGCCGCGGGAGAGACTCTCCAGAATCAGGTGCCAGGGGACAGTGGCCACCCTCAGCAAAGCTATCGGATCAGGGGATCCATCAGCGCGCCCTGACTCCACCGGACCAGCCGGTGGTGTGGTGGTGTGTTTGTGTTTCTACCCATCACGGTGTTCTGTGTGCCCAGACCCTCCCCCTCCTCTTCCTCTTCGCGGGCCACCCCTCCCCCACTCCCATCTGCTTCTGTCAAATGAGAAAGTCACCGCGGAAAACCCAAACACTCCAGCGGCCGAGAGCCCCCTTTGGCACTTGGCAGCACGCGGCGGCGGGCTCCTCGGCTCAACTTGGTGGATCCTCCCTCACTTAACTTTCGGGGCTGCTTGGCATTTGAGGCATTGGAGACATTGGAGAGGGCAGAGCCGTTCGGGGCAGTGGCCACCTGCAGGGAGTTGGCGAGCAAAGGCAACCGGACAGAAGGACAAAAAGAAAGCAGAGAGCAAAGTGCCACCGCAGAGTGGGGACACTGTCGAGAAGTTCCAGGGTCCCGGAGAGGATTTTTCCTAGAGTTCGGCCAGAGAGACCCCAGCATCCCAGGACGCAGCGCCCCGGCCCTGGGCTGGTCTTCTAGCTCACCTCTTCCCGAGCGGGAACGACATCCGGACGCACGGCCGCCGGCTGAGCGGGTGCCCGCTAGCAGTCAACATTGATTTCCTCCGGGCAGAGGCCGAGGGCCCAGGTGGCGGCGGCGGCGGGCTGCAGCCGCGGCACGGCGACAGCATGTCCAAGCCGGTGGACCACGTCAAGCGCCCCATGAACGCCTTCATGGTGTGGTCGCGGGCTCAGCGGCGTAAGATGGCCCAGGAGAACCCTAAGATGCACAACTCCGAGATCAGCAAGCGCCTGGGCGCCGAGTGGAAGCTGCTCACCGAGTCGGAGAAGAGGCCGTTCATCGACGAGGCGAAGCGCCTGCGAGCCATGCACATGAAAGAGCATCCCGACTACAAGTACCGGCCCCGGCGCAAGCCCAAGACGCTGCTCAAGAAGGACAAGTTCGCCTTCCCGGTGCCTTACGGCTTGGGCGGCGTGGCGGACGCCGAGCATCCGGCGCTCAAGGCGGGAGCCGGGCTGCACGCGGGCGCGGGCGGAGGCCTGGTCCCCGAGTCCCTGCTCGCCAACCCGGAGAAGGCGGCGGCCGCGGCGGCCGCCGCCGCCGCGCGCGTCTTCTTCCCGCAGTCGGCGGCCGCTGCCGCCGCAGCCGCTGCAGCCGCCGCCGCGGGCAGCCCCTACTCCCTGCTCGACCTGGGCTCCAAGATGGCAGAGATCTCCTCGTCGTCGTCCGGCCTGCCGTATGCATCGTCGCTCGGGTACCCGACCGCGGGCGCGGGTGCCTTCCACGGGGCGGCAGCGGCGGCTGCAGCGGCCGCGGCGGCCGCCGGGGGGCACACGCACTCGCACCCCAGCCCGAGCAACCCGGGCTATATGATCCCTTGCAACTGCAGCGCGTGGCCCAGCCCCGGGCTGCAGCCGCCGCTAGCCTACATCCTGCTGCCAGGCATGGGCAAGCCTCAGCTGGACCCCTACCCCGCGGCCTACGCTGCCGCGCTATGACCCCGCGGGGCCCACCCGCGAGGACCTGAGTGCGCACGTGTACATATGTATAGGTACGAGACTGGCGGCCTTCCGGTGAGCCCTCGGGCGACCGGGGGCCGGTTTGTATATACATAGATGTATAGGTGTCTGGCAGAGGCGGAGATGCCAGCCAGCCGTGGCTTGAGTGGCCGAGCGCTCGAGGGCGCGAGCGAGAGTGTGCGTGTGGATTCTAGGATCCCTTCCCACCCGCACTTCTGCAGCCAGCTTTAAGAGCGAGGTTGTGTGCCTCCGCCAGCTCGGTGTTTGCTTTGCACTTCGGAACCTGTTGCGTTTACCCATAGAGGTGGGTGGGAGGAGAAACTTTAACACAACGGTGGGCTTTCCCGTTTTTGTTGTTTGGATTTTTTGCTTTTGTGTGTGTGTCTCATCGATCCTCCCTCCCGGTCCTCCTCGGTCTGTGTTGCATGCACCCGGTTCTGACGTTAGGTTTGAAAAATGTGGCAAAGGGGAGAGTTGATGACCTGTCCTTACGTTCTTAGAGAAGGGTGGCTCCGGACAGCCGTCCTCTGCCCGTACTGTTTGAATCCTGCAGAACTCTGCAGACCCCACACCGGATCTGCTCCTGACCAGTGACCGGCTCGAATCTGGCCTTTGTATGGGAGATGATCACCGTTTCTTTTGTTTCATCCCGTATGTAAATAAAAACGGGAGCTCTTTTTTCTTTTCTTTTTCTTTCTTCCCCAAGAAAAAGAAATGCAAGAAAAAAAATCTGTGCGGGTGGAAGTTGTCAGTTGGATATTCTGCCCCTGGAAAATCTACTAGAAGTCTCCCTGAGTCCACTGGCTTGGACTTGTGACGAGGTTTACGAAAGTATGGAAAGCTCGCATGCTGGTTTCCCCTCATGGCTGAGTTCACCTCAAGACTGTAAATGTGTGTATGTCAATGAAAACATTGAGTCTTAGAAAATGTGTTATTCTCGTTGCCCTAAATTTGAGTCAGTTTTAGACTCAAAAACAACAACAAAAAAAAACATGTTGAGCAAATGTCAAAGTTAACTTTTAAGAATTGCGGAACTATTTCAGAATCGCAATTTTATCTAAGATTAAATCAGACGTTTTTGTCTGGGTCGTAACTATATATTTATTACTTAGCAAAACTGGAAAAGAAAAACAGAAAGAAAGCACAGAATTGTTTTTAAAGATGCCTCATTGTCATCTAGCATTCCTCTGGCACGCGCTGTTTAATGTGTTTTTCGGAGTTCCCTTTCCGAATAGCTTATTTTCTAGACCGCCTGCAGTTCACTTGCAAATTCTGATGAAATACATTTTAGGAAAAAAATCCTCAAATTATAGCGTTTTCCTTTTTAAATGTATATATTTTGACTAATGTTTGTGAATGAAGTTGCTAACATGTATTTAGTTTCATTTTGGCTTTATGTAAGATAAAGTTTTAAAAGTTTAATTATTGGTTTTAACTTTTATGTGTAAATGGATTTCTTGTGCGATCTTCTAATTTAATATTAGATGCGTCTAAGCTATATCTGTAAATTAGAATCTTACTATAACTCTGTTCATTTTTTTGAACAAAGAGTTTAAATAAAGCCTGAACCAGGGAAAAGAGAAAATCCTCTATTTCTTGTTGAGTTCCTAACAAGATTTTTATCTGAATTGCCCTTACGGTGCCTGGCCCAGGTGAAATGTAAGGTATCCTCCAAAGGCCGTCTTTGTTTCACTTTTGAATAGATTTACTAGGAAATCTAAATCAAGTCATTGTTATTCAGAGCCAAAAACCTGATTTATCACATTTTTAATCGTGAATAGGAAAGATTTAAAAAAGAAAAAAACCCAAGTAGTTGCATTATCTTTCGGGGGTGGGGGCAGGCATTCATGAGCCAGCAGAAGGGAGCCCTTTGAGAACGGGGAGACTGCTCCAGGTTTCCAGCCACGTTTTCAGAGGGAAAGTTGCCCGACCACTTTATCTTGTTTGCAGAGCAGCCCCGCCACTTAAATCAGTGTAATTTGTTCACATATCTTTAGGGTATTCCTTATTTGCACTTTAAGGATTTACTTGGAAGGGTAATCACTGCCAACAGAAATGTACAACTTTTGGCCTCCTTAGGGCTTTATTCTGCCGTGCTAATAGCTTTCAAATAGAAGCGCAGTGTGGCAGATTCTAACCAGAGGGCTGGCTCTCCAGTGCTAGGCAAGTCTCCACTCGAGACGAGTTTAAGTCCATACAGCGTTTTAGTTTTAGAAAGAAAATGATAGGGCAGGGCACTGGCAGATACTTCGAGGGCAGGCGGGTGGGGTGTCTGAAACTCAGGAAAATCGAAGCCCTGAGTTAGGAAGCCGCAGGATTCTGTGTGTAGAAGTCTTAAACCTGTTTCCCAATTGACAGAAGTCAGCCCGAGCGGCACATCTTCATAAGTGCCCGAGTCTTTAAAGTCATTGTTTTCTCCCAACGGAATAATATTTTAAAAACCATGAAAAGTTTTGGAAATGTGAGAAATGGGCTCTGCTGGTTTGACCCTGATTCAGTAATTAAAACGATCCCTCTCCTGTTATTCCCCGGGCTCTTTTCAATATTATAAGTTAATTCATATGGTTCTGAGCGATTATGCAAAACTAATTTGGACTGTCCAGGGGTAATTATCCCTGACACGGTTAATTAAATCCTTTCAAAGCTTCGTCTTTCTCTTTTGTAGCAGCCCATCACTTCTCAACACGGAACTTCCTGCGGCTTGCTGGAAATCACCCCAGCCCTAAATCTTAGTTACCTCTCAGCCCAGCCTACTAGCTCGGGCCCCAGACGCAGAAGATACCCCGCCCCCTCGCGCCCCCTCCTCCCACCCTTTCCCAAAGTTCTGTATTTTCTGGGAGAAAGGCTTTCGAGCATAGATGAATGAGAGAAGTCTAGGAAGATGGGAAAGGGGAGGAAAGGCGGCACCGGGAAAAGGGCGGGCGGGGGGAGGAGTACCAGGGACGCATCCTCAGCCATCCCGCCGCAGTTGGCACTCTGTAGGCAGACTCCCGAGACTCCTTATCAGGCATCTCCAGTGATCTTAACTAACAAGTTGGCGGCTTCTACATCCAGAGAGGGCCTCTGGCCAAGCAGACTGCAGTATCCGGGGTGGGGTGTCCTAAGGGTGGGCATGGAGTAGCAGGAGCAGCGCTCAGGCAGGATGGAGGCTGTGCGGGTGCTGGGTACCAGAAAGTGAGCCACAGAAACAGCGCCGTGGCCAGGGGAAGAGAGCCGGTTTCTTTGCCTCTCCATCTCTATTTCTGTGCGTTCTCGACTCTGCCCTTCCGCCACCTCACTCTCTTCTCCTATCACCCCACCTCGGTTCTGCCCTTCTGATTTTCAGTTTGTTTATTTGAAACACGACGTTTCTTTGGAGTCGCGGGTGCCTCAAAGCTTTACACAAACCTGGTCTGAGAAGGGCCGAGCTTGTTGCTTTGGGCTTTGAACAAACAGGTGGAAGTGATGTGTGAGGGCAAAAAGGCCTTGTGCTGGAGAACTCTGCCGCCAGGGGAGTGACTCGGGGAAGCCGACAAGGAGGCTTCGGAGCTTTCTTCCTCGGACAGTCTCATCCCTCCCCAGCCAGGACTAACCAGTGTCCATCTCCCTCTCTTGCTCAGGCTGCCCGGTATCTTTGCAAGGGCGCCGCAGAAGCACAGACTTGGGGTGGAGAGGGACTTGCCCGCCAGCCAATCAGAGCGCGGCTAGCTTGGCGCTGCGGGCCGGGTCCTCCCAAGTGTCGCGCCTGCCCGAAGTGGCAGCGTCTTTCTGGCAGGGGAGAGAGAGAGAGAGAGAGAGAGAGAGAGAGAGAGAGAGAGAGAGAGAGAGAGAGAGAGAGAGAGAGAGAGAGAGAGAAAGGATCCAAACTTTATTAATCTCTCCCCTGTTCTTTCTCCCTCAGTCCAGTGCATCTCAAAGGTCAACCTTCTTCTTTTAAAAGACTGATATTATTAATTCACTGACAATCTCTCCCCCCCCTTTTTTTCTTTTTCTTTTCTTTCTTGCAGGGGGGAAAAAAAGAAAATAGTGAAAAGAGCTTTTATTTTCTTTTCTTCTTTTTTTTTTTTTATTTTTGTCCTTCAGTGGGAGCGTTTAGACAGTCGAGGAGGTTTTGTCCGGGAACAAAACGCGGGGTTGGGAGGTTTTGTGACAGCGTTGTTTGTTGAAGTGGAGCTAAGAAAAAGCGACGGCTTTTTCCTCATTGTGAAGAAACCAATCGCTGGTATTTGGAAAACTGTTAGCATTGTGCACTTCTTCTGTGTCCATTGTGAGGCGATTCTTTTCACAAGGTTTTTTTTTTCAGCCGATCCAGCTGGCCGGAATGAATAGCGGCGCGATGTGTACCGGCTTTGTCCCTCCGGCCTTCAAGTAGCCCCCATTGAATAGACTAAGTTGACACTGCGTGACAGCGGAACAACATAATAAAAAATACATGAGCCCCTGAATAGGAGCGGGCGCATAAATAAATAAAATGGGTGACCAAAGCTGGATAAACTGAATAACAAAACGGTGAAAGGGGAACAAAAAGATATTTAACACGCTAGATTAGCATTAGAATGCGATCTACAAGGCAGAACAATTGATGAATAGGTTTACCCGCCAAGAAAGAAATGGACTAAATGCCCTTTGAATGGATATGCTTTTTGCAAGGGCTTTGAATAGATATGCTTTTTGCTCTGGCTGAATGGGAAAAGGTAAGGATGAAGCTATGTAAATGAGTGGGGGAACTTTTTATATATATTCTTTAAACACACACACACACTGCGGGGGGGGGAGAGTGCTGCCTCGGGGTGTTTACAGAAGCAATAATTGCCATGATTAGCATTGTCTGCAGCAGATAGAAATTGAACAGGTTGGAATAATATAGGGTAGCCGTAATTATTCTTCTAATTAATGGTCCTTTGCTAGCCGAAGAAAGGAAAAGGGAAAGGAGAAGTAAAAGTTATGTTTCCTTGGGTCTGCCGGCTGGGCTGTGTGCCGCAGCGCGCCTGGCAAGCATT